CGGAGGCAACACCTGTCTCCGTCATCAGGTGGGACCGTCAGATTAAATACAACATATGAGAGCTTGGCACGTTCTGTTTACTTGACAAACCCCTTACTAACTGGCTGTATCGGGTGGTCGCGGGTTTAACGACACAACGTTGATATATTCACGCGATCTCTAACCCACCACAAACTCGACGATGGTTTAAACACGTTCCTTCGCAGTGGGCAGGTAGGAACTTGGTTGGACAGCGCATTCGTGCACGACAGACAAATAATCCCTGGTGGGCAGTGTGGAACCTGTTGTTCCTACAGGTATAAGTGTAGTGTATCGTGTTGTGTATAGTGTAGTGTGTAGGTTAAACGTTGAGTTTTATAAGGGCACCACGGGGTGACCAGCCCCTCCCCACCCAGCCCCACCCCTCCCAATGCCCCACCCAGCCCCACCCTCCCCACCCAGCCCCTCCCCACCCTCCCACCCAGCCCCTCCCCACCCCTCTCCTCCCCACCCAGCCCCTCCCCACCCCACCCAGCCCCTCCCTCCCCACCCAGCCCCTCCTCACCCTCCCCTCTCCACCCAGCCCCTCCCCACCCCACCCCACCCAGCCCCTCCCTCCCCACCCAGCCCCTCCCACCCTCCCCTCTCCACCCAGCCCCTCCCCCAGTTCCATTTTGTGAATAAAACATTACCCGTCTCCTCATTGGCCCGAGTCGCAGCGGTGCCCCCCCCCCCACCACTAACCCCCCCCTCTACCAACCCCAACCCACCGCTCCCATTGGTCGGCGCCCCCGAGCCAATGGGAGGGCTCTGGTGGGGTGGGGCTATGCACGACAGACAAGCGATCCCTGGTGGGCAATGTGGAAACAGGACCCTGCGGGGTGGGCTGGTAGGAACGAACAATTGAATGGCTATAATAAAATTAAATGGCAAAAAGTGGCCGCCAGTAACCCCGCCCGGCCACCCGTGGCCCCGCCCCATCTCGGTGTCCCCGCCCCCAGCTCGTTGCCCCGCCCCTTACCGCCGTAACCCCGCCCCAACCCCACGTAGCCCCGCCCTCCACCTCGTGCCCACGCCCCCTGCCGCCGTTGCCCTGCCAGTCCGGCGTAGCCCCGCCCCCTGCCGCTGTAGCCCCGCCCAATACACCCCGAGCGGGGGAGAGATTCCCAGGCCTGGCTCGGCTGGAGAGCCGCCGACGAGGGGGGGGGGGGGGGTAGGGAGTTGTTTTTAATGTAAAAGCTTTAAATGTAAATGTTTCTATTAAAAAAACATCAGGGAATGTAACATTGTTAAACATTAACTCCCTTTCACACACGCGGGGGTACGATACGAAGGGAAAGTTTGACGCCTAGGTCTAGGCTTTAGGCCTAGCTGTAGGCTTTAGGCCGCCGTGAGTTAATTGTTAATATAAATGTTTTAATTATTTATGTAAAAGCTTTAAATGTAAATGTTTCTATTTAAAAGCATCAGGGAATGTAACATTGTTAAACATTAACTCCCTTTCACACACGCGGGGGTACGATATGAATGGAGAGTTTCAGGCCTAGTTCTAGGCTTTAGGCCTAGCTGTAGGCTTTAGGGCGCTGTGAGTTTTTAATTTAATTTCAAAGTTTTAATTAAAAGCTATCTCAGGGAATTATAAGGGAATGTTACACGTGTTTAGCCAGGAAAGCCTCATTAATTTAAATGTTTTAATTAAAAGCTATCTGAGGGAATTATAAGGGAATGTTACACTTGTTTAGCCAGGAAAGCGTCACTGAGTCTAAAGGTTTTTGTAGGGTTATGCCAAGTGTTTGCAGTAGGGGGTGATGTTGCTACACGGACGGACGGACGGACGGACAAACGGACGGACGATATAATCTATTGTAGGCTGGTCCACTTCGTTCCTACCAGTACTAATAATACGTTATACTGGTAGGAACGAAGTGGACCAGCCACCAATAGATTATTTCGTCCGTCCGTCCGTCTGTCCGTCCGACCGTCCGTCCGTGTAGCAACATCGCCCCCTACTGCAAACACTTGGCATGACCCTAAAAAAACCTTTAGACTCAGTGACGCTTTCCTGGCTAAACAAGTGTAACATTCCCTTATAATTCCCTCATATAGCTTTTAATTAAAACATTTAAATTAATGAGGCTTTCCTGGCTAAACACGTGTAACATTCCCTTATAATTCCCTGAGATAGCTTTTAATTAAAACTTTGAAATTCAATAAAAAAACTCACAGCACACTAAAGCCTACAGCTAGGCCTAAAGCCTAGAACTAGGTTTCGATTTAAAGCTTTCGTGACTGCAGGGATTCATCTTCTTGGTTCTTTCGGTAAAGTCACGTAGAAGGGAAGTAATAAAATAATAAAAATAAAACATAATAAAATCAAATAATTCTCACGACGTTTCGGCTACAACGGAAGCAGCCGTCTTCAGGTGAAGAATGAGACACTGTCAAGCTAGGAGCTTATATATAAGCTGAGTTGGAGGTGGAAGAAGAAGAGAGCCTTAACAAAAGAATGTGCATATCAAGTGGAATTTAGCATATTCATGGGAAAATGCGTAGGAGGTGGGCGGGGGGGTTTCAAAGTCATATTATGCCCATGCATTATGCAGGATCAGCAGCACCAAAGGGAGGGGGGGTAGCATTAACAAAGGGAGGGCATGTTAATAATATGTAGAAGCAATGAAACATGTGATTGGGAGAATGGTGGCAGGAGACCCGCAGCGGAGCAAATAATGCATTCCCTGTGGAGAACACAAGATACACAGTTAATGCCAGTGAGTGGACTGCGGTCTGAAAGTCACCATAAACGTGAACAACAATCAGTTAAGATCCGAAGTGGTTTATTACGTCCTTCCAATGATTGCTGAGCCAGAATCCATCTTCTCGGTTGAAATTGTCTCTGTGTTTGTATATGTTGATCGCCTCATGAACGAATCTCTCATGGTAGCCAGATGGCTTGCAGAGAACCTCTGTCTTGGAGAAGTCAATGTCATGTGAGCCCACTGAATTGTAACAGTGATCTGCCACGGCTGAGGTGTTTGTCCTACCATGTTTCAGGTCTGCTTTATGTTCACGGATGCGATCCGAGACATGTCGTTTGGTTTCTCCAATGTAACTGCTACCACAGAGGCAACTTAGTTTGTAGACGCCAGGGTACTGTATGTCTGGAACCACGTCTTTTACAGACGGGACCAGATCACGGATTTTATGTACTGTGTTGAATCGTACCTGAATCTTGTGTTTAATCAGGATTTTGGAGATCTTTTTTGTGACCCCAGCAATGTAGGGTAAGGTGATGGTTTTGAAAGGTTCCTCAGCAGGATCCTTCTTGACTGTTGGAGTGATGGCCTTGCGGATTGTGTAGTCGGAGTAACCATTATCCTCAAGAGCTTGGCGTACGTGTTTGAGTTCACTGGCAATGTGTTCCTGGTCGGAGATGCATTGGGTTCTATGGTATAGAGTCTTGATGAGGGAGTTCTTCTGGGATGGATGGTGGTGGGAATCCGGTTTTAGGTAGGCATCCGTATGGGTGGCTTTCCTGTAGACAGAATGGCTCATTGAACCATCAGGTCTCCTTTTAATTAGGACATCCAAAAAGGGTAGCTTGCCATCTTTTTCGACTTCCATGGTGAATCTGATGGCTGGGTGTATGGAATTGATGTGGTCGAGAAATTGGTCTAGAGCAGGCCGGCCATGTGGCCAGATGACAAAAGTGTCATCTACGTACCTCTTCCATAAGGTCGGGCATAGAGTGGCAGTCTTGATGGCGTCAGTCTCAAATTTCTCCATGAAAATGTTGGCTACAACCGGAGATAGGGGGGAGCCCATTGGGGTGCCCTCAGTTTGCTTGTAGAAGGTTCCATTCCAGGTGAAGTATGTATTGGTTAAGCAATGTCTCACCAGGGGGGTACCCCAGTATTCAGTCCTTGATGAACCAAGTCTTCAATGATTGCGATGGTGTCAGGCCTGAAACTCTCCCTTCGTATCGTACCCCCGCGTGTGTGAAAGGGAGTTAATGTTTAACAATGTTACATTCCCTCATGTTTTTAAATAGAAACATTTAAATTTAAAGCTTTTACATTAATAATTAAAACATTTAAATTAAAAATTAACTCACGGCGGCGTAAAGCCTACAGCTAGGCCTAAAACCTAGAACTAGGCCTGAAACTCTCCCTTCGTATCGTAACCCCGCGTGTGTGAAAGGGAGTTAATGTTTAACAATGTTACATTTCCTCATGTTTTTAAATAGAAACATTTACATTTAAAGCTTTTACATAAATCATTAAAACATTTAAATAAAAAATTAACTCACAGCGCCCTAAAGCCTACAGCTAGGCCTAAAGCCTAGAACTAGGCCTCAATCTCTCCCTTCGTATTGTCCGATTAGGTGTAGCAACATCGCCCCCTACTGCAAACACTTGGCAGGACCCTACAAAAACCTTCAGACTCAGTGGGGCTTTCCTGGCTAAACAAGTGTAATAATACATTATGTTTATATTCTTTGGTTATTCGTTCCTACCAGCCCACCCCGCAGGGTCCTGTTTTATTATTATATTATTTTATTTCTATTATTATTTCTATTTTTTTATGAATATTATTTCTATAATTTTTATTATTTATTTTTATTCTCACCTACGTGACTTTACCGAAAAAACCTAAGAGGATGAATCCTTGCAGTTACGAAAGCTTCAAATCCAGTGTGAAGCTGTTGTTCCTACATTGTATAACCACTGTGATAAGGAATCGAACTCTGCGCGTTGATCACAATGGAAAATCGACGAATCGCAAACTGTTAAACACCACGTGGGAATCGATATTCACAGCAGCCTCAGAGGAATCTAATAATTATAATCGACATAATTGAATCGACGACAAGAGAATCGATCCAACCGAGCGTTTTACAAAAAAACACAACCAAGGGCGTGGAATCGATCCGTCCAATTCGATTCCATCGATTCGACCGCTTAATCAAACCTAACCTTAAATGCGCGTGAATCGATTACGGGCGGTGTCGTTTGGTGTCGAATCGTAACGGGGGGGAATCGAATCGACCACCGGTCACCACCACCATCATCATCACTGCTCTTGAAGGGCAACTCGATTACGATGTTCTCCGCGATCGTTCGCTTCTCGTTACGTGAGCGATGCTGGCGAGCCGGCTCGAGGGGCATCACCGGGGCCGCCACGTGGAGGGGGAGGAGAGCAGAGGTCGTGCCGCGCGCTGTGAGTGATGTCCACCCGTCCCCTAGGTCGACTCAGCCTCAAATGAGTAGCTGGTGCGGTGTGTAAATATCGCCACTGGGGAGACAAAGACGGCCGGGCGTGGTGCTGGCCACCCAACGCAATCCTCGTGTGCTGTTCAGGCCTTGATCGGTTGCTGCTACTCGCTAACAGCACTTGCCTCTACAGTCTGGCAAGGCTACACGGGGGATCTTTGTCTTTGTGTGCGAGTTGGGGGGTGGGGGTGGTGAGCGGTGGCGCAGTGGTTAGCGCGCTGCGCAGTCTATGGACAGTGTTGAGTCTATGGGCAGTGCTGAGTCTATGGGCAGTGCTGAGTCTTTGGGTAGTGTTGAGTCTATGGGCAGTGTTGAGTCTATGGGCAGTGTTGAGTCTTTGGGCAGTGTTGAGTCTATGGGTAGTGTTGAGTCTATGGGTAGTGTTGAGTCTATGGGCAGTGTTGAGTCTATGGGCAGTGTTGAGTCTATGGGTAGTGCTGAGTCTATGGGTAGTGTTGAGTCTATGGGTAGTGTTGAGTCTATGGGCAGTGTTGAGTCTATGGGTAGTGTTGAGTCTATGGGTAGTGCTGAGTCTATGGGTAGTGTTGAGTCTATGGGCAGTGTTGAGTCTATGGGCAGTGTTGAGTCTATGGGCAGTGTTGAGTCTATGGGCAGTGTTGAGTCTATGGGTAGTGTTGAGTCTATGGGCAGTGTTGAGTCTATGGGCAGTGTTGAGTCTATGGGTAGTGTTGAGTCTATGGGTAGTGTTGAGTCTATGGGCAGTGCTGAGTCTATGGGCAGTGTTGAGCCTATGGGCAGTGTTGAGTCTATGGGTAGTGTTGAGTCTATGGGCAGTGTTGAGTCTATGTGCAGTGCTGAGTCTATGGGCAATGCTAGTCTATGGGTAGTGTTGAGTCTATGGGTAGTGTTGAGTCTATGGGTAGTGTTGAGTCTATGGGTAGTGTTGAGTCTATGGGCAGTGCTGAGTCTATGGGCAATGCTAGTCTATGGGTAGTGTTGAGTCTATGGGCAGTGTTGAGTCTATGGGCAGTGCTGAGTCTATGGGTAGTGTTGAGTCTATGGGCAGTGTTGAGTCTATGGGTAGTGTTGAGTCTATGGGCAGTGCTGAGTCTATGGTGCAGTGCTGAGTCTATGGGCAGTGTTGAGGCTATGGTGCAGTGTTGAGTCTATGGGCAGTGTTGAGTCTATGGGTAGCAGTGTTGCGTCTATGGTGCAGTGTTGAGTCTATGGGCAGTGTTGAGTCTATGGGCAGTGTTGAGTCTATGGGCGGTGTTGAGTCTGTGGGCAGTGTTGAGTCTCTGGGTAGTGTTAAGTCTATGGGCAGTGTTGAGTCTATGGGCAGTGTTGAGTCTATGGGTAGTGTTGAGTCTATGGGGCAGTATTGAGTCTATGGGCAGTGTTGAGTCTATGGGCAGTGTTGAGTCTATGGGCAGTGTTGAGTCTATGGGCAGTGCTGAGTCTATGGGCAGTGTTCAGTCTATGGGCAGTGCTGAGTCTATGGGCAGTGTTGAGTCTATGCGTAGTCTTGAGTCTATGGGCAGTGTTGAGTCTATGGGCAGTGTTGAGTCTATGGGCAGTGTTGAGTCTATGGGCAGTGTTGAGTCTTCTATGGGCAGTGTTGAGTCTATAGGCAGTGTTGAGTCTATGGGCAGTGTTAAGTCTATGGGTAGTGCTGAGTCTATGGGTAGTGCTGAGTCTATGGGTAGTGCTGAGTCTATGGGCAGTGTTGAGTCTATGGGCAGTGCTGAGTCTATGGGCAGTGTTGAGTCTATGGGCAGTGTTGAGTCTATGGGCAGTGTTGAGTCTATGGGCAGTGTGAGTCTATGGGCAGTGCTGAGTATATGGGCAGTGTTGAGTCTATGGGCAGTGTTGAGTCTATGGGTAGTGCTGAGTTCTAGGGGCAATGTTGAGTCATTGGCAGTGTTAGTCTATGGGTAGTGTTGAGTATATGGGCAGTGTTGGAGTCTATGGGCAGTGTTGAAGTCTATGGGCAGTGCTGAGTCTATGGGTAGTGTTGAGTCTATGGGTAGTGTTGAGTCTATGGGTAGTGCTGAGTCTATGGGTAGTGTTGAGTCTATGGGTAGTGTTGAGTCTATGGGCAGTGTTGAGTCTATGGGCAGTGCTGAGTCTATGGGCAGTGTTGAGTCTATGGGTAGTGTTGAGTCTATGGGTAGTGCTGAGTCTATGGGTGTGTTGAGTCTATGGGTAGTGTGAGTCTATGGGCAGGTGTGAGTCTATGGGTAGTGTTGAGTCTATGGGTAGTGCTGAGTTCTATGGGTAGTGTTGAGTCTATGGGTAGTGTTGAGTCTATGGGCAGTGTTGAGTCTATGGGTAGTGTTGAGTCTATGGGTAGTGCTGAGGTCTATGGGTAGTGTTGAGTCTATGGGCAGTGTTGAGTCTATGGCAGTGTTGAGTCTATGGGCAGTGTTGAGTCTATGGGCAGTGTTGAGTCTATGGGTAGTGTTGAGTCTATGGGCAGTGTTGAGTCTATGGGCAGTGTTGAGTCTATGGGTAGTGTTGAGTTATGGGCAGTGCTGAGTCTATGGGCAGTGTTGAGCCTATGGCAGTGTTGAGTCTATGGGTTAGTGTTGAGTCTATGGGCAGTGTTGAGTCTATGTGCAGTGCTGAGTCTATGGGCAATGCTAGTCTATGGGTAGTGTTGAGTCTATGGGTAGTGTTGAGTCTATGGGTTAGTGTTGAGGTCTATGGGTAGTGTTGAGTCTATGGGCAGTGCTGAGTCTATGGCAATGCTAGGTCTATGGGTAGTGTTGAGTCTTATGGGCAGTGTTGGTCTATGGGCAGTGCTGAGTCTATGGGTAGTGTTGAGTCTATGGGCAGTGTTGAGTCTATGGTAGTGTTGAGTCTATGGGCAGTGCTGAGTCTATGGTGCAGTGCTGAGTCTATGGGCAGTGTTGAGGCTATGGTGCAGTGTTGAGTCTATGGGCAGTGTTGAGTCTATGGGTAGCAGTGTTGCGTCTATGGTGCAGTGTTGAGTCTATGGGCAGTGTTGAGTATATGGGCGGTGTTGAGTCTGTGGGCAGTGTTGAGTCTCTGGGTAGTGTTAAGTCTATGGGCAGTGTTGAGTCTATGGGCAGTGTTGAGTCTATGGGCAGTGTTGAGTCTATGGGTAGTCTTGAGTCTATGGGGCAGTATTGAGTCTATGGGCAGTGTTGAGTCTATGGGCAGTGTTGAGTCTATGGGCAGTGTTGAGTCTATGGGCAGTGCTGAGTCTATGGGCAGTGTTCAGTCTATGGGCAGTGCTGAGTCTATGGGCAGTGTTGAGTCTATGCGTAGTCTTGAGGCTATGGGCAGTGTTGAGTCTATGGGCAGTGTTGAGTCTATGGGCAGTGTTGAGTCTATGGGCAGTGTTGAGTCTATGGGCAGTGTTGAGTCTATGGGCAGTGCTGAGTCTATGGGTAGTGTTGAGTCTATGGGCAGTGTTGAGTCTTCTATGGGCAGTGTTGAGTCTATGGGCAGTGTTGAGTCTATGGGCAGTGTTAAGTCTATGGGTAGTGCTGAGTCTATGGGTAGTGCTGAGTCTATGGGCAGTGTTGAGTCTATGGGCAGTGCTGAGTCTATGGGCAGTGTTGAGTCTATGGGCAGTGTTGAGTCTATGGGCAGTGTTGAGTCTATGGGCAGTGTTGAGTCTATGGGCAGTGCTGAGTCTATGGGCAGTGTTGAGTCTATGGGCAGTGTTGAGTCTATGGGTAGTGCTGAGTCTATGGGCAATGTTGAGTCTATGGGCAGTGTTAGTCTATGGGTAGTGTTGAGTCTATGGGCAGTGTTGAGTCTATGGGCAGTGTTGAGTCTATGGGCAGTGCTGAGTCTATGGGCAGTGTTGAGTCTATGGGCAGTGTTGAGTCTATGGGTAGTGCTGAGTCTATGGGCAATGTTGAGTCTATGGCAGTGTTAGTCTATGGGTAGTGTTGAGTCTATGGGCAGTGCTGAGTCTATGGGCAGTGTTGAGTCTATGGGCAGTGTTGAGTCTATGGGTAGTGTTGAGTCTATGGGCAGTGTTGAGTCTATGGGCAGTGTTAGTCTATGGGTAGTGCTGAGTCTATGGGCAGTGTTGAGTCTATGGGCAGTGTTGAGTCTATGGGCAGTGCTGAGTCTATGGGCAGTGTTGAGTCTGTGGGCAGTGCTGAGTCTGTGGGCAGTGCTGAGTCTATGGGCAGTGTTGAGTCTTTGGGTAGTGCTGAGTCTATGGGCAGGTGTGAGTCTATGGGCAGTGCTGAGTCTATGGGCAGTATTGAGTCTATGGGCATGTGTGAGTCTATGCGCAGTGTTGAGTCTATGCGCAGTGTTGAGTCTATGGGCAGTGTTGAGTCTATGGGCAGTGTTGAGTCTATGGGCGGTGTTGAGTCTATGCGCAGTGTTGAGTCTATGGGCAGTGTTGAGTCTATGGGCAGTGCTGAGTCAATGGGCAATGTTGAGTCTATGGGCAGTGTTGAGTCTATAAGCAGTGCTGAGTCAATTGGCAATGTTGAGTCTATGGGCAGTGTTGAGTCTATGGGGAGTGTTGAGTCTATGGGCAGTGTTGAGTCTATGGGCAGTGTTGAGTCTATGGGCAGTGTTGAGTCTATGCGCAGTGTTGAGTCTATGGGCAGTGTTGAGTCTATGGGTAGTGTTGAGTATATGGGCAGTGTTGAGTCTATGGGCAGTGTTGAGTCTATGGGCAGTGCTGAGTCTATGGGCAGTGTTGAGTCTATGGGCAGTGTTAGTCTATGGGCAATGTTAGTCTATGGCAGTGTTGAGTCTATGGGCAGTGTTAGTCTATGGGCAATGTTAGTCTATGGGCAGTGTTGAGTCTATGGGTAGTGCTGAGTCTATGGTAGGTGTTAGTCTATGGGCAGTGTTAGTCTATGGGCAGTGTTGAGTCTATGGGCAGTGTTGAGTCTATGTGCAGTGTTGAGTCTATGGGCAGTGTTGAGTCTATGGGCGGTGTTGAGTCTATGGGCGGTGTTGAGTCTATGGGCGGTGTTGAGTCTATGTGCAGTGTTGAGTCTATGGGCAGTGTTGAGTCTATGTGCAGTGTTGAGTCTATGGGCAGTGTTGAGTCTATGTGCAGTGTTGAGTCTATGGGCAGTGTTGAGTCTATGGGCAGTGTTGAGTCTATGGGCAGTGTTGAGTCTATGGGCGGTGTTGAGTCTATGTGCAGTGTTGAGTCTATGTGCAGTGTTGAGTCTATGTGCAGTGTTGAGTCTATGGGCAGTGTTGAGTCTATGGGCAGTGTTGAGTCTATGGGCAGTGTTGAGTCTATGGGCAGTGTTGAGTCTATGGCGGTGTTGAGTCTATGGGCGGTGTTGAGTCTATGTGCAGTGTTGAGTCTATGGGCAGTGTTGAGTCTATGGGCGGTGTTGAGTCTATGTGCAGTGTTGAGTCTATGTGCAGTGTTGAGTCTATGTGCAGTGTTGAGTCTATGGGCAGTGTTGAGTCTATGGGCGGTGTTGAGTCTATGGGCGGTGTTGAGTCTATGGGCAGTATGTATGTTGAACTTCTGTTGCACTGTACGTAGCACAAAATCGTGCTAATCGGAGGTGCAGGGGGGTAGGAAAGTCGTGTAATATTCTTCAAGGGCCATGCTTAAACTCGTTGTCTGCTATATCGATGTTTTTAAATCCTTTATATTAAGTTCGCTTGCTTGCTTAGGACCGTGCAAATCTTTCGGTCGTTTTTTAATCCACTTCCCGTGATCCAATCGAGCTGACATTTTCCACACAGACTCGTTGTGCGTGACAATTAATGTTCGTGAAAATTTTTTTCCAAAATTTTACACTTTTTAGGACAAAAATATTATATTTAATTACCAATTGCTTAATGATGCAATGCAATCATCTGACCCATAGGTGGCAGCCATCTCAAGCCAGAGGACGAGAGGACTCTAGCCGCCACGCATATAAAGGATTTATAGTGAAAAACTTTGTTTCTACGTGTTATACTTATTTTAGTCCTTGTTTTGCTACTGTTGCTAAAGCGTCCATCATCAGGTGGAACGGACGCTTGTGTTGCGATCGAAACGTCGTGCTATATTATTTTATCTGACTTTACCGAAAGAACCAAAGAGTATGGATTCCTGCAGTCACGAAAGCCTCAAATCGAGATTGAATCTCGGCACTGATAAGGGGTTGACGGGTCTGAGATGCAGAGCAGCACACGACTTCCAATTTCAAATTCAAGGTGGTGGGGGGGTCAAGCCAGCAGATACCCGCGTCAGGAGTAGTAGCAGCAGCGGGGGTCGTCTTGTATCGTCGCTGGTGGTGTCTCCTCTTTCGTATTTGTGGATCGGGGGCATCGTTACGTTGTCACACGTTGCTGCTGCTGTTGTTGTTGTTGCTGCTGTTGTTGCCGCTGCTGTTGTTGTTGCTGTTGTTGCTGCTGCTGTTGCTGTTGTTGCTGCTGCTGTTATTGTTGTTGCTGCTGCTGCTGTTGTTGATGTTGTTGTTGTTGCTGCTGCTGTTGCTGCTGCTGTTGCTGTTTTGCTGCTGCTGTTGTTGCTGCTGCTGTTGTTGCTGCTGCTGTTGTTGTTGCTGCTGTTGTTGTTGCGGTCTCAGTTCCTGGATGACCACAGTCGCCACGCTGCTACTGGAGAGGTGGTTCTTTTTTCATCGCACTTTTCCATTGGTGCATCATCGCCGATCCGCATCTGCTGCTGCTGCCCGTTGGTTTGTGCGGTGGATGCGGTGTGAGGGGTGCGGGACCATGAGGTGTGAGCACTGACGTTCTGTAGCGCAAGCGTGTTTGCGAATGCCGTATGATGTTTATATGGGCGCGCTCGTGTGTGCGTACGTGCACGCGTGTGTGTGCGTGAACACGTGTGTGTGTGTGTGTGCGTCTCACACTCACATGCGTGCGTACACGTGCGTGTGTGTGTGCGCGAACACGTGTGTTTGTGTGCGTGCATGGGCACGTGTGTGTGTGCGCGTGCGTCACACACACACATGCGCGCGTGCACACGCACAGCAAGTTGGCACAGTAGGGGGCACAGGTGGTGCATCAGCCAGTCATCTCAGTCAAGTCAACCCGTGGCACCTTCTGGGTCTGCCCTGTGATCTCTTGCCAGCGGGTGTTCGACACTTCACGTGGCCTAAACGTGCACATGGCCTGGCACAAGCGTCGCGGAGACGTTATCGCCACCGTGTGGCGAATGGCGGCTATTGTAGTTGTACACGCGCATTTGTGTGTGTGCGTACACGTGTGTGTGCGTGTGTGTGCGTACACGTGTGTGTGTGCGTACACGTGTGTGTGCGTGTGTGTGCATGTGTGTGTGCGTACACGTGTGTGTGTGCAAGTGTGTGCGTGTGTGTGTGTGTGCGTACACGTGTGTGTGTGTGCGTGTGTGCGTGCGTACACGTATGTGTACACGTGTGTGTGTGTGTGCGTGCGTACACGTATGTGTACACGTGTGTGTGTGAGTACGTGTGTGTGCGTGTGTACACGTGTGTGTGCGTGTGTACACGTGTGTGTGCGTGTGTACACGTGTGTGTGCGTGTGTACACGTGTGTGTGCGTACACGTGTGTGTGCATACACGTGTGTGTGTGTACACGCGTGCGTGTGTGTGAGTACGTGTGTGTGTGCGTGTGTACACGTGTGTGTGTGTGTGAGTACGTGTGTGTGCGTGTGTACACGTGTGTGTGTGTGTACACGCGTGCGTGTGTACACGTGTGTGCGTGTGTGTGTGCGTACGCGTGTGTGTGTGTACACGCGTGCGTGTGTACACGTGTGTGCGTGTGTGTGTGCGTACGCGTGTGTGTGTGTGTACACGTGTGTGTGCGTGTGTACACGTGTGTGTGCGCCTGTGACCAACTTGCATCTCGAAAGCTAAGCACGTCTGAGCCCGGATTGTGTCAAGTTGGGCGACGTCCTGCACCACGAGATTCCTTCCGACATTAGCAAGCCACGGGGAGCTACGCACTTTCAAGTCGTCACACTAACTTCTTCAGAACTGCTTTTCGCGCGTTCAGTTTGTCGTCCTTCCAGCCCGCCCGCCCGCCCGCACCTCCGTATTGGCGACGGTTTGTCTCCATACGTACGGCGCGAAAGAAGTCCAACTCGCTATACGTGCATTGCAGGTCATCTCACCTCTGTGGAAGCAGCAGCAGCAGCCGCCACGCCACCCGAGTGCAGTGTGCGCTCGCTTCCTGGCGGACAGCGCCACCGCGGACGCCTCGGTGCACGACCGAGTGATGCTGGTGCTGAAGGCGTATGACAAGGTGGACCCGCAGAAGGTGAGCGAGGGGACGAGCGGCGCGATGCCACGCAAACAAATTGCAAAGGTCCCCCGTGTAGCCCGTGGCAGGCTGTCGGGGCAAGTGCGGTTAGTCAGCAGCAGCGCCTGCGAAGGCCGGGGGTCGGGTGGGTCAGCACCACGCCCGGCCGCCTTTGTCTCCCCCAGCGGCGATGTTTACCGCGCACCGCACCGGGTACTCATTTGAGGCTGAGTCGACCTAGGGGGGAGGCCCAGGACGGCTTCAGATAATCGTCGGCGGTGTTGGACCGTGAGCGGGAATCGAACTTGTAACCTACAAATCTCTACACACGCATTCACATGCCTCTACACACACATTCACATGCCTCTACACACACTCACATGCCTCTACACACGTTCGTATATGTACACTCTCACTCGTACACATCTGTGTTACGCAACGCACAAAGACCACAAATATGGCCTTGAACATACTATCTTATTTGACAGGTACTATTCTACTTTACCGAGTGTTGACATCCCCAGCGTTTAACAGTACTCTCCTTTTTGTATTTGGATTGTCAACCAACACCGGGTACAACAACAACATGTGCACCTGTTGTTCTCTTTTAGCCCCGCCTACCCCCCCCCCAATACGTTCCACTCATTGGCTACCACATTCAGATAAGCCCCTCCCCCCTCCTCCCCCCTTAACTTGTATTTAAGAGCTTGTATCTTGGAATCTCTGCCTCACTTGATACAGCAAATCTGGCTGTGACGGTCCCACCTGAAGACGGAGATTTGTGTTGCCTCCGAAACTATTATTTATATACTATTTATTATGTTTACCTACGCGACTTTACCGAAAAAAGTATGAATCCTTGCAGTCACGAAAGCTTCAAATTGGCCTTGAACAGACTATGTTGGGGAAAGTGCGAGCCCCTAGTTACGTACACATGCACTCGCACACACGGTTACGTATCTTTACACACTCACGGTTACACGCACGCACACACGTGGCTGTGAATGTTCCTGTGTGCGGGGAGCGGTAGCGCAGCGGTGAGCGCGCCGCGCTACGAACCCGGCGACCCGAGTTCGGCTCCCGCTCGCGGCCAACACCGGTGACGATCGTCTGAACCGGTGCTGCGCCTCCCCTAGGTCGACTCGGCCTCAAATGAGTGTGTAAACATCGGGCCGGGCGTGGTGCTGGCCACCCACCCACCCCCTCGTGTGCCGTGCCGGCCTTCATAGGTGCTGCTACTCGCCCACAACATTTGCCCCCCACGCTACGGTCTGTTGAAGGCCACGCGGGCGATTCTTTGTCTTCGCAGCTAACGCTAGAGTCTCACTTCCTGAAAGACCTGGGCCTTGACAGCTTGGATCAAGTGGAGCTCATCATGGGCATCGAGGATGAGTTTGGTGAGAGATTGCGGAGAGACACAGACACTCGCACACAAAGGCAGAAGAAGCCGTGTAGCCTCGCACGGACTGTTGGGGCAAGTGCTGTTAGTGAGCAGCTGTGAAGGCCGACTTAGCACACGATGCGGCGGAGTCGTTAGCACCACGCACGGCCGCCTTTGTCTCCCCAGTGGCGACGTTTTGTACGCACCGCTACGCCAGGTACTCGTTTAATGCACGGGTGGAAAAAACCCGATTTTTGCAGCGGCAGGCATCGTGTTTTTTTCTTTAATACAATTGAACCCGATTTCGGGGAGTTAAAACCCGGTTTAATGAATACGAAGCTCTGATCCAAGGCTTAGGCTGCTTCCTCGTCGGTGCTGCTGTCGTATTCGGGGGGGGGCGTCGGGCACGGGGTAGTCGTAGAATGCGGCGGGCAGGTTGGTCGTGATGAACACGAGCTTCTCCTCCACAATCGTGGGCGCCGCCAGTGAGTTCCTTAGCTTGGGGAATGGATGAAGCCCATCGCTGAGAAGTGCGATTCTGCAATTAGAACCAATGAAACCGGATTTCTCCCAATCTCAGATGATCGGGATTAATATAAAAAGACAATTAAATCGGATTTCTCCCAATCTCAGATGATCGGGATTAATATAAAAAGACAATTAAATCGGATTTCTCCCAATCTCAGATGATCGGGTTTAATATAAAAAGACAATTAAATCGGATTTCTCTCAATCTCAGATGATCGGGTTTAATATAAAAAGACAATTAAATCGGATTTCTCCAATCTCAGATGATCGGGATTAATATAAAAAGACAATTAAATCGGATTTCTCCCAATCTCAGATGATCGGGATTAATATAAAAAGACAATTAAATCGGATTTCTCCTAATCTCAGATGATCGGGTTTAATATAAAAAGGCAATTTTTGTAAAAAACCCGACTGTGCCAGGTGTGACTGGTGCGTGTGGTGTGTCTGGGGTGATTGGGGTGCCTGGAGTGACTGGCATGTCTGCTGTGCCTGTAATATCTAGCGTGTCTGGTATGTCTGGTGTGCCTGCCGTGCCGACCGACATCCCCTTGTCTTTGCCGTCCCAGGTTTTGAAATCCCCGACTCGGACGCAGAGAAGCTGCTCACAGCTAAGGACGTCATCGCCTACGTCAGCAAGAAGCTCAGCGAGTAGCACGCCGGAGAGCCGGGGGGGGGTGGCGGCATCACCGGCGCGGCTTGAGGTGTGCGTCTCGCAAGGGCACGGCGACACGGCGACAAGCCGGCCAGCCGACACGGGCCCCGATGCTCTTTCACGTTGTGATCATCTTCAGCTTGGCGTGCCGCGCGCACGGAAGCTTACGAGCGACGCGTTGATTTTGCCGGTGTCAAAGTGGAGAAAACATGAGAATGTGTCGATTTAAAGCTTTCGTGACTGCAGGGATTCATCTTCTTGGTTCTTTCGGTAAAGTCACGTAGAATGGAAATAATACAATGATAAAAATAAAACATAATACAATAACTCACGGAGAATGGAAATAATAAAATATTTAAAATAAAACATTATTAAATAATTCTCAATTTTATTATGTTTTATTTTTATTATTTTATTACTTCTATTCTACGTGACTTTACGGAAATAACCAAGAAAATGAGAATGTGCTTTACGCTCTATGGCAATAAAATGGGATTCGTGTTAAGAGTTTCAAACACCAAATAAGGTGCCTTTTTCAAGGATTCGAGTTCCTGCATGAACCAGACGCAATTCCTTGCGGTGAACACGCAAACACAATCGCGTGGCTTTGATGACAATCTATGATGCATTCAATCTTGATTTGAAGTTTTCGTGACTGCAGGGATCCATACTCTTTGGTTCTTTCGGTAAAGTCACGTGGTCGTGTGTGTGCGTGTTTTTTTTCAGGGTGAAAATCGTCGTTAGCTTCGGCACTGAACAAGACGCACCTTTCACTATTTAAACAATAAAATCTGAACGCGAAAGAAACGCAGGGAGTCGCCGTTATATGTTATTGACCCGCACACAGACGATCCGAAGGTCACCCGTGGTTTGAATGTTTTTTATTCGTCTTCGTCCCCCTGTTTTGTTATCACAAGTTCCATAAATATTCTGAATTCCTCTGTTGATATGTAAACTCCTTTGTCAAGGCGATCTCCTCCTCTAACCCAGCTTAAATATACGCTGCCAAGCCTGGTGGTGTTCATTCGGACGCTGTCTTTCCGGCAGCCCTGTTCTTCACCTGAGGATGGCTGCTTGCGTTGTGGCCGAAACGTCGTGAGAATTGTATTTTATTACGTTTTATTTGTGTCTTGCGTGCGTTCCGGTGCATCCTATTCGAACCGTTCAAAAGTTCACACTTTCTGCTGATGGTGTGGTTGGCCCTGTCGGCGGCGGGAGGCGGCGTTTCCTCCAAACTTTAAAAGCCTCGGGACCGGACGGGCTTACATTTTTTGTTTTAAGCTCCGTCAAAACCCACCCGCCCCCACTGCACGAAGCACGCGTGGCCTCCTCCCTGTTCAATCGGTAGGCCAGAAGTGAAATTATAGTTTAGTTTTTCTCAGCGGGCCGGACTGTCGACGTGAGGCCCGCGTCGTCGTTGAGACTAGTGCTAGTCGCCATTTACACGGCGGTGAAGAGTCCGCTCGTTGTTGGGATGTTCAGACACCGCCAGCGTGGGTTGTTAATGCGCACGTTTTAAAAATTCATCTTCTTGGTTCTTTCGGTAAAGTCACGTAGACGGGAAATGAAACATAATAAAATACAATTCTCACGACGTTTCGGCCACAATGCAAGCAGCCGTCCTCAAGTGAAGAACAGGTCTGTCGAGAAGACAGCGTCTGAATGTCTTTCCGGCAGACCTGTTCTTCACCTGAGGACGGCTGCTTGCGTTGTGGCCGAAACGTCGTGAGAATTGTATTTTATTATGTTGTATTATTTTATTATTTCCCTTCTACGTGACTTTACCGAAAGAACCAAGAAGATGAATCCCTGCAGTCACGAAAGCTTTCAATCGAAATTTGTGAAGTCCCTTTGCTGCAACAGCTCACGGTTGAATCTCTTTCGCGCCGCACGTAACCAACCCGCGCTGATCGGGAGGTGCCGTGGAAAAAGCTACAAACTCGACGCAAAAAGAGTCGATTTCCACCCCCACCCCCCAATCCAGATGATTCAAAAGTGCGCACAGCTCCCGGTGTGTCCTCCTATCAGCAGGAAGAGGGTTCCAGACGACCGCAGGATACCGAACGATCGTGTCGCTCGCCGGCGGGGTCGGACGTGGCCCCCGGCGCTCGTGGCGCGTCTGTCCCGCTTGTCACCACCGAGGTTCCGGCCGTTCCAATCCGGCAGGCACCCCCCAGAGGTCGCAACCGGGTACCCGATACCCGTACCCTACCCAATACCTGTACCCTATCCGATACCTGTACCCTACCTGATACCTGTACCCTACCTGATACCTGTACCCTACCTGATACCTGTACCCTACCCGATACCCGTACCCTACCCGATACCCAGACCCTACCCGATACCCGTACCCTACCCGATACCCTACCCGATACCCGTACCCTACCCGATACCCGTACCCTACCCGATACCCGTACCCTACCCGATACCCGTACTCTACCCGATACCCGTACCCTACCCGATACCCGTACCCTACCCAATAGCCGGACCCTACCCGATACCCGTACCCTACCCGATACCCGGACCCTACCCGATACCCGTACCCTACCCGATACCCGTACCCTACCCGATACCCGTACCCTACCCGATACCCGTACCCTACCCGATACCCGTACCCTACCCGATACCTGTACCCTACCCGATACCCGTACCCTACCCGATACCCGTACCATACCCGATACCCGTTCCCTACCCGATACCCGTACCCTACCCTACCCGATACCCGTACCCTACCCGATACCCGTACCCTACCTGATACCCGTACCCTACCCGATACCTGTACCATACCCGATACCCGTTCCCTACCCGATACCCGTTCCCTACCCGATACCCGTACCTACCCTACCCGATACCCGTACCCTACCCGATACCCGTACCCTACCCGATACCCGTACCCTACCCGATACCCGTACCCTACCCGATACCTGTACCCTACCCGATACCCGTACCCTACCCGATACCCGTACCCTACCCGATACCCGTACCCTACCTGATACCCGTACCCTACCCGATACCCGTACCCTACCCGATACCCGTACCCTACCCGATACCTGTACCCTACCCGATACCCGTACCCTACCCGATACCCGTACCCTACCCGATACCCGTACCCTACCCGATACCCGGACCCCTACCCGATACCCGTACCCTACCCGATACCCGGACCCTACCCGATACCCGTACCCTGCCCGTTCTCTACCCGATACCCGTACCCTACCCGACACCAGTACCCTACCCGATACCCGGCTACCCGTACCCGGCCGGGTACAAGTAGCCGTTTGCCACCCTGGTGCGGCCGGGTACGGGTAGGCCGTGAGTCACTGGTGAGTCACCGTTTGTCACTCAATTCCCAACGTCTTGTCTCTTCTCACAATTCAAGTTCCTAGAATCAACCCACCCGCGCCTGCAACATGGCTTCATCCCAGAGGTCGCAATCGGGTACCCGATACCCGTACCCTACCCGATACCCGGCCGGGTACGCGTACCCGTTTGCGACCCTGGTGCGGCCGGGTACAGGTACGGGTAAGGAATCAAAACCCGTTTGCGACCTCTGGCGCCCCCCCCCCCCCCCGTAAAGCCTCGGTGGCTTCGTAGATGTTGACTTTGCCTCGCGCGAGCCTCCCCCGTGTGCCTCCTGGCGACGTTCGCAGACGTGTCCTGAAAGAGCCGTGCGACGCGACGTTGAGTGTCGTTTGTCCGACGTTTCGGTCGCGTGGCGCACAGCAGAGGGCAGCGCAGTTACCCCCCCCGCTCTGCCGAAGGAGAGTTGACGCTGCTCGGTGGCGCAACTAAAGTCGAGCCGACACAGGGGAACTCCTCTACTTACGAACGAGTTGGGTTTCAGAGGTCCGTTCGTAAGTCGATTTTGTTCATAAGGAAGGTACAGCAATGGGCTCTCCTTTGTCTCCTGTGATTGCGAATTTGTACATGGAAGATTTCAAAACAAAAGCAATAGCTTCAAGCACACAAAAAACATCTGCTTGGTTTAGATATATCTGTAATGGGTTCGATAGATGCGCCCACTCGACTTGGAGGCAACACTATTTATGAACACATAACACCAACGTGAACACTACACATAAGGTGGTGGCCACGTTTCTAATCTCACTAACGCTCGGGGAACACGACACAGCGTTGCCAGATAAAAGGGTAAAAAACCAATTATCATGTTTTTTACTGGCAAATGAGGTACCAATGATGTTGTACAGCGTGTACACTAAACGCGTGGAATGGCTTTAAAGGTCGTGTCATCTGTTGAAACGATGCTCTGACAGTCAATGCCATGGCCTTTAAAGTAAAAATATATATGTAATTCGACGTTTCGGGCAATAGGCCCTTCATGTCACGCGTCAACATTTTCCATTGCCGATTATATATATTTTTAAGCCCACGCTTGTCGATGAATTTGCACCACTGCCAATGCAGCAGCGTCGCCAAAGAATTAGTTTCATCATCCACAATCGAAGGTTTTTTTGGGGGGGTGTTGGATCGCGTAAATATAAACGCGTGTCGTTAACCCCGCCACCACACAGCCAATTAGTTGAGGGTTTACCACTTAAAAATATTTCTACTGAAGTGTATCCGATAAGTTTTAGAGCTCTTTCACAGATGTCCACCAGTTCACAATGCCCAGTAGTTCAACACATCGGCTGTGTGTTGGAAAGTAAACCAACGACAACATTTACAATTATGATGTAGTGTATAGTGTAGTATACTAGTTCAGGACATACCAGTTGTGTGTTGGAGAGTAAACCCACTATAACATTACAATTATAGTGTAAATTTGATTTAAAGCTTTCGTGACTGCAGGGATTCATATTCTTGGTTTTTTTGTTAAAGTCATGTAGAAGGGAAATAATAAAATAATATAAATATTAAATAATACAATTCTCACGACGTTTCGATTGCAACACAAGCAATCGTCATCAGGTGTGAAAACCACAGCCACTTTTTTTCAAATTTTCACTTACACTATACATTTCACGACTACACACTACACTACTATATGCTACACTACTATACACTACACCGTTATTAACCCACTACAACATTTACAATTATATAGTGTAGTGTATAGTGTAGTATACTAGTTCAGTACTAACTGGTTGTTTGTAGGAAAATAAATCCACGACAATATTTACAATTATAGTGTAGTGTATAGTGTAGTATACTAGTTCAGTACTAACTGGTTGTTTGTAGGAAAGTAAATTCACGACAATATTAATAATTCGAGTAACCGTGACATTTCGCCGGTAATTTTGTTCACGTGACAACCCGTCACTCTTTCGATTTAAAGCTTCTTTCGTGACTGCAGGGATTCATCTTCTTGGTTCTTTCGGTAAAGTCACGTAGAAGGGAAATAATAAAAATAAAACAATAAACGTCGTGAGAATTATTTTATGTTTAATTATTATTATTTCCCTTCTACGTCACTTTACCGAAAGAACCAAGAAGATGAACCCGTCACTCATCGGTTGTGTAGCCGGGTGGTGGCGGATTTAACGACACATTTATATTACGCGATCAAACCCAAAAACAATATTGTTCGCGAAAGCCTACGGATGTGTTCAAACTGAATTAGTTTAATTCTCAGGGCAGGAGTTTAGCCAAAGAAAGAATACGTAGTAAAAAAAAACAAATATGAATTATTTACCAAATGAGAACATGAATTCGCAACTTGCAATCAGAATAAACACAGTGGCCGCTATTTTCATTTCGTCGTTAAAACATTTCTCGTCGATTTTCCTTCTCGTCGAGATTTCAAATCGTCCCGGGGCTCCACGTGCAGCGCCCTCCCATTGGTCAAA